AGGAAATAAATCAAATTGGAAGAAGGAATCTCGCCACAGCTTTGGCAGTGTCCACCATTTCGAGCATATCTCTCTCATAAGAACTCCAAATCAGCTGATGTTGGCGGCATTGGAAAGCTAATTTCAAGGGCTACAGTTCTTAATCACACAACATTCCAAAATTCGGACTCCAACATGGCGAAAATCGAAGAACAAGTCCTGATGTGGCAGAAATTGATTCCTATTAGGTTTCTACTACTTTCTTATTAAGAAAAGCCTATAAAAGCAACAAGTCTCTACACCATAAGTACGAAATTTTACACCAAAAAACGCGAGGAACGAAGATCAACGAAGACTCAAGCATAGTTTTTCTTATTTAATTTATTTATTTTATTTTCTTTATCATAAGAATCACGAGTAGCTAATTCTTTATTTCTAGGATTTTATTTTGAATCCTATGTGGGATTTATGAACCATTTTCTATGATTTTATGCAAGTTTTAATTCGGATTATTTCTTCTACTTGTTTTATTAAGTGCATGAACTTGATCAACTTATGTTCTTTTATGTTATTGTTAATTGCATGAATCGGAAGATCGGATTAATAATTAGAACTGTGGTAGTAGAGCCTTTGTCGTATTAACATAGGAATATAAGTAATCTCTTAGGTAGCCATTATTGAGATTTGTGCTTAATGTTGTGTTCTAGAATTAATTGCATAGGAATATAGTAATTGAATTAGAGTGTTAGAATCGTAATACACGCGGAAGCGGGTTATGATTATTTTAGCATCTCAGGTTAATAATCCGGGTTAATTGGTTGCATGATTGAAGGAATTGGGGGAGTAATAATCATATAGGGGGAAGAATAAAATCCTAGACTTGTTTACTCTGATGAAACCTTCGTTTTTAATTGCTTTCGTGCTATTGTCTTTTTAATTTTCTTTTTATTTTAATTTATTTTAGTTAATTGTTTCTAAAGTCGACTGTGTAGGGTGGGCTTGATCATAATTGGTAGAATTTAGCGTCTAGGATTAAATAATTAAATATACCCTGTGGGTTCGATATCCGGTCTTTTAGTCCACTATATTACTTGTACGATACATGCACTTGCATGTAGGTTTTCGGCGAAAAATTTTTTGGCGCCGTTGCCGGGGAATATTTTAATTATTTATTTCATTCTAGCTCTAGATTTGAACATTTCCACGATTCACCCAAATTTAGTTTTATTTTTATTTTTCGTTTTAATTGGTTTTTGTTTTACATTTTTTCTCTTTGGTTACATGTCAGGTTACAATTTTCGCGCAACTCAAACGGGATATGAATGGCTTCTGTCTGACGAATACCTCCAAAACACCTAAGATATGCCGTCACTTTGTTGAATATGTGGTGGAGATCATTACACTAACCAATGTTGGTATTCACCGAAGGCGAATAATTTCATAGATAATACCAACATGGCTTATTGGAACACATAGGCCAACACGCCACGAGAACCCACTGTTCAGGAGTGTTATTTGAACTCCGTCCTTGAAGAGTTTATGAAATCCACTCAAGCATCTATCCGAAGACTGGAGATACAGTTGGAAGAATTCAAGCGCCAGAGGTCTCTTGAAAATATTTCAGACGATATCGAGAATGGTTGCAACAAAGAAAATTCGTCTGAAACTTGTAGTGAGAAAAACCTTTAGACCTAGAAAATAGTGTCGATGAGTGGGAAAAAGAAATTACGAAGACGCTTAAGGATGATGAATCTGACAATACAATCGAGCTAAACTCCAAAGATGTCTCTGAACAAGAGAAGAAGGAGATGGATGTGGTTAGTGCAAATACTCAAATTGAGGATATTATTGTTGTTCATGACGTGACTTTGAAGGCATCAATAGAGGTTGATGAGAAAACGAATGTGTTTGAAGTGGAGGTTATACGCAGACTTGAGGTTTTTGTGTACCGATTTGAGGGAGCGGGTGATGAAGATCCCAACTTGGCTTCGTACTGATTGATTACAACTAAGAAAGACTACAAGCTAAGGTGGACCCTGACATATTGCAATCCTATCCATGTATCGGTTGCAACTGAAGTGACAAAGTTCATGGATGAATGCGCAATCTACAAGGCTTTGAATTGGACTTAACAATTTTAAGAAGAAAAGTCTAGCTGAAGACTTAAAACTTAGCGCTTCTTGGGAGGCAACCCGAGCCTTATCGTTTTTCGTAGTTTTCTTTAATTTTATGTTTTGTTTTTACTTTCATAGGCATGCAATCTAATTAATTTATTTGAATTTTAATTTTCAGGGTCAAAAACATGGTCAGGAGGTCCAGACTGTTGGGGATCGTGCATGTATACGCAGCAGAATTTAAATTTGTTTTAGATCGAACTAGTTTCGATTACATGCATGAACTAATCACATAGTCAACGTACCTTAACGCTTCCGCCATACACATGGTAATTTTCGCTTTTTTTAAAACATTTAAAACCGAAAAAATATAAAACATGCTTGTTCATCATATTGCAAAAATCGAAACACGTAATCACATATTACTCATGCTCGTAAATTAAAATTAACACAAACATGTTCGAATCAAATTTACGAAAGTTCCGATTTAATTACCTCTTGTAGCGTGAGATTTCGACGAATCGAAATCCGAACTCAAACCCGTACAAGCTGCGTTATACCACTCCTAGGGTCTGCAGGAATACCACCAAACAGCAGCTGGTCCGACGGTGAGGCGACGGCGGCGCGTGCGAATCAGCGGCGGCGGTGCGTGGGGCGGTGCAGCGATGTCGTCGGGGTTGCAGCTCCTGTGCAATCAGGTTTCACCTCGAATAAACTGATCTCTCCCTACTGTAGCACTATATACAAAGGGGTTAGATAACAAGGGAAATACGAGAGAAAAGGAAGAGAAAACCGGCGGTTTTCGGCGGCGAACGACGCCGTTGCGGCGGGGCAGCGGCGGCCGAGAGGCTTGGGTGGCTAGGGCTGGACGGCTAGGGTTGTGGGAGTGAAAAATCTGAACTCAAACTCTTGTTTGAGGTATATTTATACTAGGGTTCTCAACCCTTGTGGGCTTAAGTCATTGGGCTTGACCCACTGATGCATTAAGCCCATTCCCTCGTCGGCCTCGTTTCTAGCAATCGATCGTTCACAAAATTATATTTGTGACGAGCTTAAAGTCCTCATCGATACGAGTGCCTCTTCGAACTTTCCAATTTCCAAAAGTGGAAACTTCCACTTCAGTGGACCTGTTAAATCGGGAAACTTCCCAATTTAGAAAGTTCACTAAATTCCGCATGTCTCTTTCTCTACGTTTATTCCGACTCGTAATCCACAATCACGAATCTTGGACTCAATCATATTGACCTCCAACTTTGCAAAGATTAACATATTAACCTATGCTCATTAATACCAAGGATCCGTATTACACGAGAAGTGTGACCCTCAATGGTTCAGGTGGATGCTAGTCGTGGGCTCACAACTCTTTGTGATTCGAACAACACATTGTTCTTATACGAACTCCTCCCAAGAGTCCCGATTAGAGTAAAACTCATTTTACTTAATCGCCGATCAAATCGGTGCCCAACGAATCAAAATTGGCGTCTAGCAACTACGCATCATGATTCCCTAGATACAAGTGAAGTGCCTGCAAGAACCTTAGGATATAGTTAGCGTACAGTACGATCCCTTCGCAGCACATGTCCCGATTGAACTAGAGGCATTGGTTCACCGAGACCTCTTATAAAGTTCAATAATCGTGCGAACGTTCTAGGTATTATAAATCCGTTCGTGTGTGACTAAGGGAAACACATTTCCCTAATCACCCCACTATCAACTTTGGCCAGAGATTCCTTGGATTATAAACCGTTAGAACACACAGGACATCCATGACTACGCAAGCGCTCGAATCCCCTACTACAATGCACAAACTTCACACTAGATTTCGGATTGCACGAACGTTGGCCCTTGGAGTGGTCCGTTGTGGGACTCAGGGACAGGTCACGATACAATCGGTCCTCTAGTGAAGTCACGGTGATGTCTGGGTCTTAAGGACTAACGGTGTACAACTATATCTTAGAAACCTACACTAGGCCAAAATGGTCGACTGGCGACGAAATTTGGCGACGAAAATGTATATTTGGCGACGATTTTTTACTGTTTGCGACGAATTTTTTTCGTCGCCAAATCGTACAGAAAACGTCGCGAAACGCCCCGTCGCAAGATCTGCGACGAAAAACCATTTTGCGTCGCAACGTTTGGCGACGAATTTCATAAATCGTCGCAAGATTCGTATTTTCTGAAAAAAAATGTTTTTTTAATGTTCGCGACGGATCCTATACTTTCGTCGCTTCCCAGTTGCGACAAACAAATAATAAGTCGCAACTTTTTGCGACGAATTCTATGTTCGTCGCTAGATTAAGCGACGTTTTGTGACGATTTCGTCGCTACGTTTCGAAAATGTTTGCGACTAATAGCTGTTTTCGTCGCTAGTTACTACAGTTTCTATTTGCGACTATTTTTTATTTTAGTCGCAAGTTTTTTTTTTTTATATATATATAAATTCTGGTTTATTTATTTTTTTCAACTAACAAATTCAACCTGTATTCAGTTCAGCATCTGTACAAAAAAAAAACACTTATATCAAAAATATTAAAACCAATTATAAGGATTAAATATCAAGGTTGCACAAAACATAAATTGTAAAAGTACATAAAAACTTAAAAGCATATAATGTAGTGTTTCAAACTTTAATTCAAAAACCAAACAAAGTTCATCCCTTTTTATACTCCACCATCATTGGAAGGAGTCGATGTCGAGGCTTGTAGTCCAAAACGGCTGACCAAGGTGTTCACAATTTCTCGGGTTTCTTTCAATCCCGCTTCCAATCTTTCCATTTTTTCATCTTTAAGTTGCATTTGCTCTTTCATTGAATTCATTTCCATTTGCACTTCCGGCGGAATTGAAGAAAATCTCGACTTTGAACTCTTTGTGGTGGTTGCAATCTTAATTCCAAGCCCATCTCGTATATGAATCTTCCCTTCTTCGTATACGTAACTCCTGCAATATAATATATTTTTCTTTAATACTAGCAACAAAATCTAGAAATAAAAACAGTAATATGCTAAAAATGGCTTTTGTCTGATATATAGTAAATGAAGCTACTAATCAAACAGTAAATGATATATAGTCATTAGAAAAATTGAACAGGCAATCAATTCACAGCTTTACCAACAAATACTCTAAATTACTACTTCAGCCTAATTAATAATTAATTTTGGGTGCTGAGACGACTCCCACTATGTTGAATTAAACTTGATCATCCAGGAGAATTATAAGGCAATTAACATTATACTTAATTAGCTCCAGCTAGCAGATTAAGTAACTGAAAATAAATTCAATTTACACACACACACAAACATATAATTTCCAGGTAATTGGAAAAAACACATGAAAACATATAAGATCATAATAAAGCTTCGTCCTTTCAACCAAGAAAAAAAAGGTACAATGCACAGACACCCACACACACACACACAAACACACGCCGCAAAAAAAAAAAGAGTCGACTTTAAATTCAATAACTTCGAGTAAAACATGTTTCAAATAACCAGAAAGTTTCAACCTATGGATGCAAAATATAACCGACAATAAGGTGGCTACAGCTTAGTAAACCAAGCAAAAGGGAGATCTAAATTCAAGATTACTCGCTAGATATCAAACCTTTAGATGGGCTGCAGCTTTGTCCTTGTCAGTGAACACTCCAGTTGACTCGACAATGTATTCGGCACCAGTTTCACCCCATGGAATCTCTTCTGGGTTCCTTTTAATACCATCAAAGTTGAATAGGTCAACAATTAATAGATTATAAATGATAACATAGAAATTGAGGATATATGATGCCAGGCTTGTGGGCAAAGAGAAAGGCTGTACCTAAAGCCGAAAACAGTCACAGGCTTCTTGCCAAAGAGAAGGGTCTTCTCATCCTTAACCGTGAGCTCGTCGTGCTTCCATTGACCGTGGACGCTGTCATATTTGAACATGTAGGTCTGCAGAAATAGAAACACAAACACTAAAAAAAATCTCTGAGAATGTCGAAACACATAGGGCAGAGCTAAACCAAGAAAAAATAACTCTACTAACATGGGCAGACACACATACCAAACATAGCCAACACGAGAATCCGTTCATGATTAAATAATTGTATGATTAAATAATTGTTTGGGTGTGGGAGGGAAGAATTTGGTTGTTCACTATGAAAATTATAGAAATGCTACTTCATCTGAATAAATAAAAAATACATTTGGTGCTTTTAGATGGATTAGCAAATCGAACCAAGCAAGTCCGTAAAAGACGAAAACATTAAAAAATCAGCAAGAGTTATAATTTGGTTATGCAAAACCGACTGATCATCCCAAACTCATAAATTTCCTTTTTTCTTTTCCAATTTTGAAAAATATCCCAAAAAAAAAAATAAGCAAGTACACCAGCGATAAAGCCAACTGAGACCACCGCATTCGTAAGGCTAACTCACAATTCTAATGTGTGCAAGAAATTAACTCCTACCGATCAAAGTTCAACATCGAAACATTTCTACTGCACATAATAACACTAACAAACACACCATAACTATTTCACCTCAAAATTCAAAACCCAATCAATCACAATTCATACATGATAAATACAACAAGAGACCAAATTTAAAGCAGAAAAAAAAATGGCCCACAAAGAGAAGACGAGGCAACACACCATGTAGTCAACGGTAATGAAGGGATCGTTGCCTGCAACAAGCTCGACATCGTCTCTTTGAAGAGCAACCCTAGCCACCAATCGCCCAATTCTTCCAAATCCTTCATACAATAAGCAATCGATGAACAGTTATAACAAATTCTAAGTAATAAAAAACAATCGATTCCGATCTTAATTAACGTTATGAGTTGAGTTCAGATCTAGTACCATTGATTCTGATCTTAATTAACGTTGTGTGTGTGTGTGAAATGCTTACTTTGACAGTTGGCTTGGATTTGGATGAGAATTCAGAGGAAAGTAGCGGCGGACGGCGGAGAGATGGGCGGACGGCGGAGAGCAGCGGTGGAGAGATGGGCTGACGGTGGATAGATGGGCGGAGGAGAGCAGCGGCGGACGGCGGACGGCGAGAGCAGCGGCAGCGGCGGACTGCGGCGGCGGAGGCGGAGGGGGAGGACCCGGCGGGGGGCGCCGGCGGAGGGGAAGATTGAAACGAGAAGAAAATCGAAGATAATGGGAAAAGGGCATTAGGGCCTGCCTTTTAATTAAATTATTTGCGACGATTCCTAACACATCGTCGCCAACTCAAATTTAAACGAATCTTGTTGCGACGTTTTCAACTTTTTCGTCGCAAACCAAAAAAAAAAATAGCCTTGCGACGTTTTTTCTATAGCCTTACGTCGCTACAGAAAAGCGGGAATTTTTCTATAATTATTTTGCTATTATACTTGCGACGAATACGCTATTTTCGTCGCTAATAATAAATATTATTTAATATTTCCTCTTTATTACGCTCCGTTTATTCTTATTCGTCGCCAACTCAATGAAAAAAAAATTTCACAATTGCCTAGCGACGAATACGTCATATTCGTCGCGAAAGTAAAAAAATAAATTGCAAAAAATATTTTTCATGCGTCGTTTATATAAAAACGTAGCTACGAGAGTGCTTTATTATTTTTTTTTCCCCTTTGCGACGTTTTATAGACATTAGTCGCATCATGGCGACGATTACGGTTATCGTCGCGAGATATTCCATCGAAATCTTATTTTTCCGATATCTTGCGACGTTTTTTAGTCAAAATGGTCGCAAACTAGCGACGATACCGGAATCGTCGCAAAAAAAACGTCGCAAGTGAGCTGTTTTGGCCTAGTGCTATTACTCGATGAATGAGAACCACTTATAGATTTCTAGGGCGAGGGAGTTCAGTGAACTCATCTAGTATGAGCACCCACTCAAGTATGCCGATGTCACAACACCGAGGACTGATGAGACGCAGTACATATACACTAAGTGCTAGTCTCAAAAGGGAAAGGCCGGTATCCTCATTATTGGCGTAACCCATCGACTAGGAACAAGGTTTAACAGTTACATTACATTGTTGAGTTATCTCATGATTCTACTAGATCAACTCACAGTAATAGAGTAACTCGTTAGGACTATATCTATGCTACTTGCATGGGATAAGAGATATAGAATGCCAAATGAAATATTTTATTATTACGAACGAAGAACGATTGTTTTATTACAAGAAAAAAAAGAAATACCACAACCACAAGTTGGCTTGTTGGTCACCTACTCTAACAATCTCCCACTTGACCTAACGCCAACTACTCATAAATCTAAGTCCCATCGACTCTCGATGTTTCTCGTGGACTGATCCTGACAATGGCCTGGTGAAGGGATCTGCAATATTGTCCTCCGAGGTGACTCTGTCTAGCTTGACTTCACCTCTCTCTATGATCTATCGGATCACATGGTATTTTCTCAACATGTGCTTCGACTTCTGATGAGCTCTTGGTTCCTTAGCTTGCGCTACGGCTCCGTTGTTATCGCAGTATAGTTGTACTGGATCGCTAGCGTTCGGAAATACACCCAACTCTTGGATGAACTTCCTAATCCATGACCCTTCCTTTGAAGTATCTGATGCTGCAATATATTCAGCCTCGGTGGTGGAATCAGCCGTCGTGCCTTATTTGGAAATCTTCCAACACACGGCACCCCCGTTGACTTTAAATATATATCCCGAGTTTGACTTCGAGCATCCACGTCCGATTGAAAACTAGAATCCGTGAAGCCTTCTAATTTCAACTCGGTATCCCCATAGACCAAAAACAAATCTCGAGTTCTTCGCAAGTACTTGAGAATGTCCTTCACAGCCTTCCAATGGGCTGGGCCGGGGTTGGACTGATATCTGCTTGTGACGCTCACAGCATACGCAATATCAGGTTGTGTACATAGCATGCCATACATTATGATTCCTATAGCGGATGCATAAGGTGTCCTTTTCATCTCCTCGATTTCCTTTTGCGTTTGAGGACGCATGGATTTCGAGAGGCGAACCCCATGGGACATTGGCAGGAATCCCTTCTTGGATTCTTCCATGCTAAACCGTTTAAGAACGGTGTCTATGTACATGGATTGGGACAAGCCAAGTAATCTCCTCGATCTATCTCTATAGATCCGTATTCCCAATACGTAGGATCCTTCTCCCAAATCCTTCATCGAGAAACGTGTGGATAACCATACTTTAGTTGACTGTAACATCCCTAAATCATTCACAATGAGTAGTATGTCATCAACATAAAGTACAAGGAAAGTCACTGCACTCCCACTAACCTTCTTGTAGACACAAGGTTCCTCCGGGTTTTTCACAAATTCAAACTCTTTGATAGTTGTGTCGAACCTTTTTTTCCAACTACGGGATGCTTGTTTCAATCCATAAATGGATCGCTGGAGTTTGCAAACCTTTTGCTCATCTCCTGAAGATATGAAGCCTTCCGGCTGCGCCATGTAAATTTCTTCCTCAATGTCCCCATTAAGGAAAGCGGTCTTCACATCCATTTGCCATATCTCGTAGTCATACCACGCAGAGATGGCCAGCAAAAGCCTAATGGACTTAAGCATAGCAACTGGAGAGAAGGTTTCCTCATAGTCAACTCCTTGCTTTTGAGTATAACCCTTCGCTACCAATCTAGCCTTGTAGGTCGATGCCTTTCCATCTACTCCAATTTTCTTCTTATAGATCCACTTGCAGCCTATGGGAACGATTCGCTCGGGTGGATCTACCAAGGTCCATACCTTGTTGGAGTACATAGAGTCCATTTCGGATTTCATGGAATTAAGCCAATGTCCCTTGTCTGTATCCGATACAGCTTCGTTGAAAGTTCTCGGATCACATCCTTTGTCAACTTCATCAACGAGGAATAACCTATCGGGCGCTCTCCGAACTCTTTCGGATCTACGCAGCGACGGTTCAGGAGGTATATTAGTGGTTTGTTGAATTGGTTCATTATCTGATTGTTATGCTTGAACTTCAGATTGTGGTTCTCGAACTTCTTCGAGATCAACTACATTGCCCTTTCTATCCGATAGAAATTCCTTCTCAAGGAACACGACATTTCTCGAGACGAACACCTTTGCCTCGGAAACATAGTAGAATTCGTATCCCATGGAATCCTTGGGATACCCCACAAAATAGCATAAGTCGGATTTTCTATCCAACTTATCTCCCACTAGCCGCTTCATGTAAGCGGGACAACCCCATATCCTAATATGTTTAAACGTGGGTTTCCTGGAGTGCCAAAGTTCATAAGGTGTGGAGTTAACTGCTTTCGTGTTAACCCTATTCAGCAAATACACGGCAGTTAGGAGTGCATGACCCCACAGGTATGCCGGTAGCTCGGTGAACCCCATCATAGATCGAACCATGTCTAACAGTGTTCGATTCCGACGTTCGGAAACTCCATTAAGTTGAGGACTTCCAGGAGGAGTCCATTGAGACAGAATCCCATTCTCTTTAAGATAGTCTATAAACTCAGTATTTAAGTATTCGCCACCACGATCGGATCGTAGTTTATTAATACGTCTACCGAGTTGGTTTTCTACTTGGTGTCTAAAATCTTTGAACTTTTCAAAAGTTTCAGACTTATACTTCATTAAGTACACGAAACCATACCTAGAATAATCGTCGGTAAAGGTAACGAAGTAGTTAAAACCACCCCTAGCACTAACGCTAAGTGGACCACACACGTCTGAATGGATCAAATCCAAAAGACCCTCGGCTCGTTCCATCTTCCCTTTGAAGGGAGTCTTGGTCATTTTTCCTTTAACGCAGGATACACAAGTTTGAAGTGATTTCACGTCCTCCAAGGAGAACAATCCTTCACTTACAAATTCTTTCATCCTTCTCAAGGAAATATGACCCAGTCGAGCGTGCCAAAGTTGTGCGGGGTTAAGACTTATATCTTTTCGTTTTGCTGATATAACGTTAATTGGTATTTCACTTGGATTTAGTTCATATAAGTTGTTTATAAGTTGTCCCTTACAAATCATATTTTGATCCTTTTGTATAATGCAAATCGAATTTCCAAAAACAAAAGTAAAACCTTCATTATCCAAAACAGGAATAGAAATAAGGTTTCAAATAAGTGACGGAACAAATAAACAATTGTTCAAAACAATGGAAAAACTAGAATCCAAAACAGAAAGATAAATCGTCCCAGTGGCTTCAGCAGCAACCCTTTGCTCCGTTGCCCATTCTTAGGTAGGTCTCATTAAGCCTCCTACTTCTTGTCATGAGCTGCAAATCATTACAAAGATGTGAGCCACAACCAGTATCCAATACCCAAGAAGAAGATTTAACGGACAAATTAACTTCAATTTAATACGTACCCTTTTCAGAACATTTCTGATCGAGGTAAGCCTTGTAGTTGCGTCGCCAATGGCCCTTCTTTCCACAATGATGGCAAGCGTCAATAACTTTCTTGGTGACCTTGTCCTTCTTCACTCCGCTCGACTCGCCCTTCTCAAGTTTCTTGCTCGGGCCGAAACTCCTTTCCTTCCTTTTCTTCTGGAAAGAACCTTTCTTCGCAGAAGGAGCAACTAGGAGAACAAATTTCTTCTTCTTGATCGTGGACTCATAGCTGACCAACATGTTCAACAACTCATCCAATGGTGGATCGAGTTTGTTCATGTTGAAGTTCAATATGAACGATTCATAAGAACTAGGAAGGGACATTAGGATCAAATCCACCAAGAGCTCGGCCGGGAGGGTGACATCAAGGCTCACCAACTTCTCAAGGAGAGTGATCATCTTGAGACCGTGCTCGTGGACCGAAGCCCCTTCACGCAGCCTCATGGTGATCCACCATTTCGAGCATATCTCTCTCATAACAACTCCACATCAGCTGATGTTGGCGGCATTGGAAAGCTAATTTCAAGGGCTACAATTCTTAATCACACAATATTCCAAAATTCGGACTCCAACATGGCGAAAATCGAAGAACAAGTCTTGATGTTGCAGAAATTGATTCCTATATTAGGTTTCCACTACTTCCTTATCAAGAAAAGCCTATAAAAGCAACAAGTTTTTACACCATAAGCACGAAATTTTACACCACAAAACGCGAGGAACGAAGATCAACGAAGACTCAAGCATAGTTTTTCTTATTTAGTTTATTTATTTTATTTTCTTTATCATAAGAATCACGAGTAGCTAATTCTTTATTTCTAGGATTTTATTTTGAACCCTATGTGGGATTTATGAACCCTTTTCTATGATTTTATGCAAGTTTTAACTCCGGATTATTTCTTCTACTTGTTTTATTAAGTGCATGAACTTGATCAATTATGTTCTTTTATGTTATTGTTAATTGCATGAATCGGAAGATCGTATTATTAATTAGAACTGTGGTAGTAGAGCCTTTGTCGGTATTAACATATGAATATAAGTAATCTCTTAGGTAGCCATTATTGAGATTTTTGCTTAATGTTATGTTCTAGAATTAATTGCATAGGAATATAGTAATTGAATCTAGAGTGTTAGAATCGTAATACACGCGGAAGCGGGTTATGATTATTTTAGCATCTTAGGTTAATAATCGGCGTTAATTGCTTGCATGATTGATGGAATTGGGGGAGTAATAATCACATAGGGGGAATAATAAAATCCTAGGCTTGTTTACTCTGATTAAACCTTCGTTTTTAATTTCTTTCGTGCTATTGTCTTTTTAATTTTCTTGTTAATTTAATTTACTTTAGTTAATTCTCTCTAAAGTCGACTGTGTAGGGTGAGCTTGATAATAATTGGTAGAATTTAGCGTCTAGGATTAAATAATTAAATATTCCCTGTGGGTTCGATATCCGGACTTTTAGTCCACTATATTACTTGTACGATACATGCACTTGCGTGTAGGTTTTCGGCCAACAACGACCCCGTATTTGCTGAATAGGGTTAACACAAAAACAGGTAGTTCTACACCATATGAACTTTGGCATTCCCGATAATCCACTAACATGAAGTGGCTAGTGGGAGACGAGTTGAATAGTCGATCCAACTTATGCCATTTCGTGGGGTATCTAAACAATAAATTGTTTGTCTCAGGGAATGCCACCTTCTTAAAGAAGAAATTTCTATGCGATAGAATAGGTGTATGGTAGAACTCGAAGAAATTTGAGAACCACGAATTGAAGTTCCAACACCATAAATAGAACAAGAGCCAATAAAAATTAAATCACCCATTAATGTATCTTCTCAACAATCTATGTGGAGATTCGAAATGATCCATAGAGAACTCAATAGGCTAACACTCATCGAAGGTAGTCAAAATTAATTTGATAAGGGATGTGATCCAAGAACCTTCAATGAGGCTGTATTTGATGCAATAAGGGATATTGGCTTAACTTCATGAAATCCGAAATGGATTCCATATACTCCAACAAGGTATGGACCTTGATGGATCCACCCAAAAGAATCTTTCCCGTTGGATGCAAGTGGATTATAATCTTTAAGTTGGAATAGATGGAAAGGTATCGACCCATAATGCTAGACACTTGAAAATGAGTTATACTCTAAGACAAGTTGTTGTATGTGAGATAACTTTTCACGAAACACTATGATGTAATTCCATTAGGATTTTGCTAGACATTTCTGCGTAGTATTACTACGAGATATGGAAAATGGATATGAAGATCAGCTTCTTCAATGGCGAGATTGAGGAAATCAGAGTTGTGCAGCCGAAAGGCTTCATGTCTTCTGGAAATTAGCAAAAGGTTTGCAAAATTCCAGCGATCCATTTATGGATTGAACCTAGCATCCCATAAAATAGAATGTTCGGTTCAACACATGGATCAGGAAATTGATTTAGTAACGAGTTCGAAAGAGCCTTAAGTTTACAAAAAGGTTAGTTGGAGTGCCATTACGTTTCCCAGTATTTTGTGTTGATAGCATCCTACTCATTCGGAATGTTGTAGGGATGTTGCCTTCAACTAAAGCACAATTGTCCTAAAATTTATAAATAAATGAATTTGGGATAAGCTTCGTACGTATTGGATACGTATTTAAAGATATAAATAGAAGAGGTCTCTTAGTTATCCCAATTCGTATTATAAACATGATATGATGTATGCAGTGGCTCGTCACTGTAGATATCAGTCTAAACCCAACCAAGTTAGTTGGAAAGCTATGAAATAATTCCTTAAATACTTGCAATGTACTAAGGAATTGTTCATATATAGTCTATGGGGATTCCGAGTTGAAAAGAAAGTCGTTCGTTGACTTTAGTGTTTTAATTGGAAGTGGACAACTCAAAAAAGACGTCGGGATTTATATTCATGCTTATAAACGAGGTGCCGTATGAGTTCAAAGTGGAACATGACGGCGGATTCCACCTCCAAAGCTTAATATATTGCGGCATTAAATGACGCAAATGTAGCAGTTTGGATTCAAAATTACATTCAAGTGTTGAATGTCTATATTCAAAAGATCTAGTTAGATATCCAAGCATATACTGAATCATAATTATCTCATTGGTTAGATAATTAAAAGAGGCGAACTTTAGTTCGAGAGAGTTGCCTCGGTAGACAACATTCTGGATCCCTTTACTTCGCCTTTACCCAGACTGGTCCATGAGAAACATCGACAGTCGATGGGACTTAGGTAGTGAGTAGTTGGCTTTAGGTCAAGTGGGAGATTGTTAGAGTAGGTGACCGAAGATTCAACTAATTGTTGTGTTTTCTCACGCTAGTCGTAAATAATCTATTTCGTATTAATGATAAATACCCCATTTAGCATTCTATATCTTTGTCCCTTGCATAAGAATAGATATAGTCTTTACAGTTACTTAATTACTATAAATAGATCTAGTAGAATCGTGAGATTATTTAGTTAAGTATAGAAACTGTTAAACATAGTTCCTTGTCAACGGGTTACGCCACTAATGAGGATATCGACGTTTCCCATTCGAGACTAGCACTTAGTGTATGTGTACTGCATCTCATTAGTCAACGGTGTCGTGACACCGGCATACATAAGTGGGTGGTCATAAGTTGATGAGTTCACTAAACTCCCTCAATCTAGAGATCTCTAAGTGGTTCCCAATAACCGAGTAGAGGTTTCAATGATAGCGTTGTACACCAATAATCCTTAAGACCCAGACATCACCGTGACTTCACTAGAGGACCAGCTATATCGTGACTTGTCCCTGAGTTCCAGCGAGGACCTCCACAAGGGCTAGTGTTTGTGCAGTCCGAAATCCAGTGGGAGGTCTGTGCATTGTAGTATGAGATTCGATCGCTTGAGTAGTCATGGATATCATGTGTGCTCTTGCAATTTATAATCCATGAAGTCTTTGGCCAGAGCTGAAAGTGTCGTGATTAGAGAAATATGTATCTCTAAGTCAAACACGAACAGATTATATAATCAAGAACGTCCACACAGTTATAGAACTTATAAAGAGGTCTCGATGAACCAATGCCTCTAGTTCAATCGGGATATATGTATTGAAAGGATCGTATTATACGTTAACTATATCACACGGTTCTTGCAGGCACTTCATTTGTATCTAGGGAATCATGACGCGTAGTGGCTAGACACAAATCTTGATTCGTTGGGTAGTTATGCTGAATCTAGCTTCAACTTAATTATAACTCTGGGGACGAGTTTAAACCACAATGTGTTGAGGGCCCACGGCTAGCTTACACCTGAGCCATCGAGGGTCACACTGCTCGTGTACTTGAGATCCTTAATACAACGAGCAAAGATAAATTAGTTAACATTAGTTGTAAATGGAAGTCAATGTGATTGAGTCCAACATTTCTAATTCACTACTAGAAAATCATGATTTAGCAACGAAAGCTACCAACGTACAAAACAATCCGTTGCTAAATAAGTAATTAGCGATGGGATTAGCGACGTAAAACAAAATCGTCCCATCGCTTATGGAGTTTCAGTTCTAGCAACAGATATTAGAGACGAATGATAAATCCGTTGCTAAAATAAATATTTAGCGACATAATTCAGTGATGGATAATAACCTGTTACTAAAAATAAATATTAGCATCATATGTAGAGACAGATTAAAGGACCTGTTGCTAAAATAGATAGTTAAGATTGCTTTTTTTAAATTTAAAATATAATATTGAGGATTTTGTACTGTTATCATGTAATTATTATTCTATTTTTTTTTTTACTTTTTTTATTTGATTATTTTAATTAATATTATTTATATATATTTATTTTAATAATTATATTGTAATTAACTATTAAAAGTGATGAAATAAATAATATGTATAAAAACGTGTATCATTTGTTACCTAAATGATTAGGCTGAAAACACTGTAACACGTGTTTACTCTTTTATCAATTATTTAATTAAAGTTATAGTAATATTTAAATATTTATGTATAACAATAACAGCACTAGATACATAATAAAATATTAATAAATATTCCGAAAGATGTATAACTTAAAGGAAAATGTCCAAACCCCAAACAACAGCGGAAGCAAAATTCACAGCCGAAGCCCTAATTTTTATGGAGGATTCTCTCGATTTATTCGATGTCCGAGTCCTGATTTCCAACTGTTGAAGTTTTTGTACTGAGTGTTCGGAAGAGGTAAGGAACCCAATTAGTTTATGTATGTATTGCGAGGAATATCGACATGTCGAAAAATGATTTCTGCAGCAAATCTGTAATTTCAAGGTAAATTTCATTCTTAAGTTTTCCTCAATATTTCTCTTTCTTTTTACAAGGTTTTCTCTTCAGTGGAAATGAACGAGTTTTGCTCCAAATCCCTAATGTCAATGTAAGTTTCAATTCTTAATTTTTTCCCGATATCTTTCTCCATAGTTCTCTGTCAAATACGATTTTTGAGTTATCTTATGAAAACGCTAGCACTTGCGCGGTTGCCCTTTCGAATCTTCATTGATCTTGAACTTCTAATATTTCAAAAGAACAATTTTTGCAGGGATTTGGTTAAAATATGATTTTTTACCCTGCTTATCCGATATGTTTTGAATTATTTATTTCGTTCGTGGGTGCATATAATATATTCTTTAAATTGTTTTGCTTTTGGTAAATTAATGAATTGTCGAATGTTATTTGAATTTTCATTCGATTATCTTTTGAACATGATAATAGATTTGTTTGTTTATGTTTTTTTTGCTAGAAAATTTGGATTTTTATTGGCTTTGTTATTGTCTTTCGATATGTTTCACTCCCATTATTTGAGTAGAAATAAAAGTTTGGGTATCTGTTCTCTTACTTATTATAGATGGTTAGGTGTTGCAGCTATTTTGTTTGCGTGTCGATTATCTCAAGTGTTGTTCAGAGGTGCAGAATTTATTTATGAACTTGACTTTGATTAATCCTCTTGAAATCTGATTAGATACGTATAAAATAATTTGTTTGTGATGGCTCATGGCTTTCATTCGTTAACTTTTTGATGACTTGTAGCATGATGCAGGAAATTCAAATAAATTCACAAACATAATCTTATGGATGCGTAAAAGAACTCAATTTTTTCTCCATTAACGAAGAAAGCATTAGGATGCTTGATGGAAACAAAGTTCAGAGAGTATGTTCTTTGCTCCATTGATTTCTCATCATCTCTTAGTCTATGTTTATGTTATCTTTTATGCTTGTAAATGATATCGAGGCAGTCTGCTATTTTTACTATTAAAAATACTTATCCACATTAATGATTTCTTAGGAAACCGAATTGAGTTGTCAATAGAGAAGAGGGGAAGATCATAAAAGGCGTAGTACTAGAATTCCAAATTCTATACATATGTAATGGTAAGCATGTTTGATGAAGCTTTCCCAGGTTAGAGAAAAAATTGAATTGATAACTTCTTTTCTTTTGTCTTTTAAAGAGAATGGTCTGATGATAGCATAGTAAACTGAGTATATATTTGCTTCTATTTATTTTACATACATATTTTAGCTAGATGTCAGTATAGAGATTCAAATTAGATTTCATTCACTGCTCATTTTCTCAAGTTGTTTTCTTGGCTTTTTAACAGTTGTTTTTCTTGATGATGTTGTGAAGCACAAGTGCTACATTTAAAGGTAAATGTTTTACCTTACTATTTATTAGGATCAAAGTTGTCTTTTTATTTTAAAGTCAATATTTTGATTTGATTTACTATTCAATTCGAAATTTTGTTTTGTTATCTCCTTCACAATTGTTTATGTTGCTACATTTGAAGGGAAAAGTTGTATCAGGTATGAAATATTCACTTTCTTACACAATTTGTTTTATTAGGATTTCAAGTTGTCTTTTTAGCTTAGCGTCAATATTTAGCTAATCACATTTATATTGTCTTGGACTACTTTTGTGTACTATGCAGCTAGTATTCAGGATGTCATCTACGTGGTACAAGTAAACCACAAGCATATGTCGATTGGAGAGACTGAAGAGACGGTGTGTGTTGCACATATAGAATAGGATTGATGTATTTTAAATTTTGACAGTGTTTCAAATTGCTTTCAAATTAGTATTGCTATAGTTTGTAATACAAATTTGTAACATTGTATGCTGAATTTTTATATCTAATTGTTATTTTTTTTGGTATACAAAATATATTAAATAGGTATAAAAAAAATATATATTTTTTTTAATTGTTCAAATATTTTTTGCGACGGATTTAGATACGATTTAATCCCTATCTAAAGTAGCGACGGATTTGGCAATGGGTCATTTAGTTTCTACATTACCGACGGATCTGGCGACGAGTCATTCTATTGCTACTGTAGCGACGGATCCGCAACGGCTTATTCTATTGCTAAAATGTAGCAACGGATTTGCGCACGTCGTCGCTAAATTTAGCGACGCGCCTTTTAGCGACGGCGTTGGAGACGAGCATTATCTGTTGCTAAATCTTGATTAGTGACGGATTTTTACTTCTTAGCAACGAATTCGTCCGTTGCCAAATCATGATTTTCTAGTAGTGATTGTTAATTACATATCAGAATAAGTAGACGAAAAGAATCCAACGGAAATATAGTGAACTTTCTATATTGGGAAGTTTCTCGATTTGACATGTTCTAAATTAGGGTTTCCAATTTCGAAAATTGCTAAATTGCAAAGTGGTACTCGTATCGACGAGAATTTGTGCTCGTTGTGAAAATATAATTGTTATATTTTGGTGAGCATTCGTTTGTTAGAATCAAGCCGAGAAAGAGAGTGGACTTAAGCTGTTGGGCCTAGCCCAACTTAAGGCATGTAAGGGTTTTCACAAGGAACATATAAATAGGATTCATATGTCTTGTGAAAGACACACAAAAAATTACCGTCACAAGATAAGCTTGAAACCCTAGCCTCTCTCCCTGTTAGGATATTAGACTAAAAGTCTCGCTTTTTGCTACATAATTTTATTATTGAATTAATAACATAGTATATTATCATTTTAGGAGAATATGCACTAGGGTATTCAATGCATTTAATTGATTGTTTGTCAATTAATTAAAAACACAAGTCTAATATTCTAATAGTATTCGAGATGGTGTGCTACGGCGCACAGAAAGATCACTTCGAAAGTTCGTTTAGAATATAAAGATAAACATTCACAATCTAGATGGAAATGGACTAACCATTGGTAAAAGATTGTAGCACAATATTTAAGTGATTGGTCTTGATCACAGTAAACAGAGAATAACTTTTCTAGTTATTGTTTTGACTTATTCTGCTAGCACACCCATCATGTGTTGAACCGGACAAAGTGAAATAATTGTTTCATCATTGTTCAAAATGAAACTGTATTATTTCTAGTTGACAGTAAATTACTTGATCTCTTAATCCCTAGATAATTAACGTACATATTTAATTGATGATCTCTACTTTGATGTCACAATGGGAGAGATTCCTATATTGAGTCAAATGGCCCCCGGTGCTTTGGGTAGAGACATTAAGAATTAATAGGTGGAAATTAATTATCGAAAGGAATCCACATCTCTGAAATATGGGATTGATAATAGCCCTTGAGTAGCTTATAAGATTTGTTTATGCCAAGTCCTGGCCAGGTGGATTTCGTATCCGGCATACTCAAATAAGTTAAGTGGGTAAGACTCATGAAAAGAAACAATTTAATTTATTTAGCAGTGAATAAATTATTTGGTGGTTGTATAAGATATCTTAATGTGGGGAGAATCTAAGTAATGATCGACCGGAGCTCGAATGTAATATTAGAGAATATATAAACAGGAGTTCAATAATTATTTGGTAGTGGAAAATAAATAATCATTTAATGATTAATTAAATGAATTATATTATGAGTTTGGATTTTATTAATTATTAGTTGCCCGATTTATATTTTCTCCTTTAGTCTCTATTGTAGCCCAATGGATTTTCAAATTAATCGAGAAATAAAAGTTCAACCAATATTATATTTGGAATCGATATAGGCGAAAATTAAGTCCCATTCGACTGCAATTTTCGACCATATAGAGTTATAGAAGGAGCGGGATTTGTTTCCATGTAATCCTCTCTAAGGGAGACTCTAATTCCTTGTGCTATATATAATAGAGATTACGTTGATGACAAATAAGTTTTGACACACGCCTATTTCACGTGAAGAGAAAATATTTTTCTCTTCTTATTTTCTCTCTAAATTTCTCGATTGTAGGTTTAGATTTCTTCAAGTACAAGTCCACCCTTGTAGCAGAATTATTAATCCGGGATATACAATAGAAAGACTATAGGTTTTTAGAGGAAACTATTATTCCCGAAATTTATGAGCAGTCCTGCGAAGAAATTCGCTATAAATCAACCGTTTGTTCGATTGGCTTGAAATGTATTCAGCAGCTTCCTATCTCATGGAACTACAATCCATACAGAGGGTTTCTCAATCCGATCAACCACCACGAAGATATCGGTGAAGGAAGATGGCCGGAAATTTCTGGACAGCAGTTCTTCGAGGATTGAAGGCTTGGTGTGGATCCTCGTTCGTGCGCCGAAGATAGAAACGAATCTGCTCGCGAAAACTGTAGGTTGTTAGATTAGATTTATTCCGCTTTAAACGAATCTAATCAAAACATGTTAGTAAAATTAAAAACGGCTAATCTAGAACCTCTTGCGAATTTTCATTGAATCCTGGGCTTCACATCCCAACAATTGGTATCAGAGCTTCTTTGATTAATTCGTTTGAGGTTCACATGTTGTCCAAAATTGCATGAAACGGAAAATTCATATGTTGCATGTAGCGTTTTGTTTCTGACTTTGTTTTGCAGAATAGAAAATCTGCTATTATGGTTATGGATATTTTATTTATGTTTTATGTGAATGTATCTCACTGCCTCGTGAGTGGTTACGTGTCGGTTTTAATTTCCATCGCGTGATATTGATGGAAAATTGTGTGCCTACGATATTTTTATTTTTTGTAATTTTTCTAGAGGAGTTTTAGATAGAAATTACATAAATAGAATAGAGGAGATTTTGTTCTCGGAATTGTTTGCGCGACTGTGCCGTGTTTGTTATCACGGGCTTGTCCACCGTCGGATTGAGCTGAATTTTTTTTCGGAGGTTGACCGTTCGGATCATGAATCGTAGTTACCCAGATAGAGATATAAATTTCAGAACAAGGCTGGAAATTCCAGGACAATACCAGAATTATCAACCGCGCGGGGTCTCGATATCGGGCAGTAGGCAGCGGCTCCGGGTAGCCTGGAATTCGAGAATTCTGGAGTTTACGGGGACTTTTGGACTTCCTAATTTTAAGGAGTCTAAATTCGGGAGTCCCAACTTAACCAAAATAGCGGAAAATTAAATTATTTTATTTAATATTTTATGGTTGATGTGTGCTTAAATTTGTTATAAGCATGATTGCATGCATTATTCATATTTATTATATTTGGGCTTAGTTTGTTTATGTGATACACATGACATATAATTGGACAACATGAAATTTGGACATGCATAAATTTGCATTGAATTTATTATGTTCATGTTCATCTATGTGAATTATATTTGGTTATAAATGTTTTTATGTGATACCATGGATTATAATTAAATAACATAGATGACTGTGTTGAACATGATAAATTTATCATGATTCGTAGTTTTTTTATGTTTGTAATATAAGATGATTAATTTGTGTATTAGTAGGATCCCATGATATATATAACTAGAGAACATAGAACTAGAACACACTCAATAGGTGCCCATAGTATTTCTATGATTAATTATATTGGACATCGTCATAGATTTTAGATAATATCATTGATTATGAGAAAGGAGATTTATCGAATTTCGCTCCCACTCCAGGCATAATTAATTATAGACATTATCTAGAAAAATCTCCTAACGGATAATTTGGAATTGATTATAGTGATACATTATTTTCTCCATGTGGTGGAAAATAGATATCATAGAATAATCAATTTAAAATTAATTGATATTCCAAAGACATATAATTAGAGAATCTAGAAATTGAGCATTGTAATTATTTTCATAGATTCCCTCATGAAAAATGTTTTTTAAAATTATTAAGTGTATTGGGGAGTTTATTACGTATAAATCCTAAGGTCTCCATCATAGGCTTTAAGATAAATTAATTAATTATGAGAAAGGAGATTTATCGAATTTCGCTCCCACTCCGGGCACTTTTAATTATTGACTTATCTAGAAAAGTCCCCTAACGGATAATTATTAAATAAATTGTAGTGATATGTTTGTCTGACTCCGAGTCGACGGATATCATAGAACAATTGATTTAAAGATGACTTGATGGTTAAACGCTTAACAATAAAATATAATTATAACTATACTTCACTCCGATGTCTTTGTTATATTTTATTGGACCAAAGTAACCGACTATTTAATTTTATTTTCCAACACCGCCGAATTGAAATGATAATAAAATTAAAGATGTTTTACATGTCTATCTATTGAAAACTTGTAGCCTCTCTACACTTCGTAGCTTACCGGTTCCTCATAGTGATGGATTGTCGGTTGATTTCAAAATTTTGTTTGAGGGAGCCATTTTAAGTGCCAATCTAGAGTTCTTAAGGATGCCCTTCTTTATAGTTAAAAATTGTTTGCTTGATTTTCTAACAATTAATGATATATTCCTAGATCCACTTTGTAGACTCACCTTGCTAGGATTGATCGACCTATAATAATATATTAAGTATTCCCTTTCGAATGAGGAATTTAAACATATATTTTAATTGAGGAAATTCGTGAGTTAATAAACGACGTGAATTTTCGGAAGAAAATTTAGTTCTTCATTTATTTCCTTAGGTCGATTAATTGGTTCGGTGTTATATATTGAATTTTGGTTCAATATATAGAAACACTACAATGAGCCCATAGCAAGTACAAAATAATATAATAGTGAATTTCTTAGTAACGTGCGAAATTTAGAACTATGTTTTTATTTGTAGACATATTAAAAGCCTCTTGAATACATGCATATTTATTTGGATTATTGGTTAGTCTTCATGTTCGAAAGACTATACGTCTTTTGAAAGTTCATGAACTCTTAGAA